CTATCAAAAAAATAGAAAATAACAAGAGTTAGTGAAGATGTGGAGAAATTGGAACAATTGTACACTGTTGTGAGAATGTAAAATGGTACACCTGCTATGGAAAACAGTAGAGAAATTCCTCAAAAAATTAAAAATAGAATTATGTCATCCATGTATTTTGGATAAATACTTCTGAGTATTTATCCAAAAGAACTGAAAGCAGGGTGTCAAAGAGATATGTTCACACCCATGTTCATTGCAGCATTATTCACAGTGGCCACAAGGTGGAAGCATCCCAAATACCCATTAATGGATGAATGAATAATGGCAACATGGTATATACATACAATGGAATATTATTCAGTCTTCAAAAAGAAGGAAATTCTATCACATGCTGCAACATAAGGAGCCTTGAAGACATTATACTAAGTGAAATAAGCTGTCACAGAATGATCCACACTGTATAATCCACCTATATAAATTATCTATAATATTCAAACTCATAAAAACAGGAAGTAGAATGGTGGGTGCCAGGGCTGAGAGAAGGGGGAAATGAGGAGTTATGCAATGGGTATAGAGTTTCAGTTTTGCAAGATAAAGTCATTCTGGAGATTGGTGGCATAGCAACATGAATATAATATACTTAACATTACTGAATTGTACAATTAAAAATGGTTAAGATGATAAATTCTAAACTTTTTTTTAATTATTAATAAAAAGATTAGCCCAACTCTTTTCTTTTATAAAGGGGAAAACTGAAGCCCTGAGAGTTTATAGAAACTTTTAGTGAACTTGCATGGATTCCAGTTACTAACATGTTTCACAAATGAGTTACTGCCCCTAACTTATTGTAGTTTTCTGCAGAGAGAAATTCAAATCACTGTATACAGCCTGTTCAGCGTTTTTTAAAGAATTCGTTTGAGAATACATATAAGGCAATAGATCATCTACTTAATATTTCCATCATCAAGCCAGGAGCGATGCCTGGACCCAGCATGCCAACCAAGGTCTAATTATCACTCTCTTTCTTTTGGCTTCCAGGCATATGCTTAAATATCACTGGTGCAGGCCCCTATCTGCAACAGACCTGCTTATTTTATAGTTTCCAAATAATAAATGGTAGTGATTCCTATTTGATTTCTATGTTTTTTAATTTTTTCAGACAAGATCGCAATTTGAACTTGTTTAATTTCCTTTGAATTCTAAGGTACTACAAGATTTCCTCCCACCTTTGCCATATTTAAAATGAGAATGTTTTCTTGTTTTAACTCATAACCCAGATGATGTTTCACTTTATAAAAGCCACCTCTTGAATAAGAAATCATGATTACCTTGCTTTAAGCTTCAGGAATCTTTTCTCTATTATATTTAATTACTAATCAAAGTATTGAATATCATTGTAAAAATAAAATAGGAATGTCAGATGTGAACTGTGATACCAAATTGTTGATTTTCAAAAGGAAATTAATCATGTGATCTGGGCTAAATTGTTAGTTTCAAAAATCCTGAGTATTTAACTTGATGTAACTAATATGTGCATTTAACTTTTAAACAGTTATTCCAAAGTACTAAAAATCTTTGCCATTCCAATTTCCAGTCAATTTTCTCTGCAATGCATTGGAGGTGTCCATTTCCCTTTAAAATGAATAGCAAGAATAATTTCTATTGTTCCAATATGATTTTTTAAAATAGTATAAGCCCCACCAGATATTAGTCCTCATTGAAAGGGAACTTGGAATCTTAAAGAGAATGTTGAAAAACAATTCCATGTAATATTGTAGGGTAATTTTTATTAGTAATGTGATTTAAAACACATAGAAGCATTGAAAGGTAGACAGGCTTGCATTCCAGCCCAAACTCTACTACTTTCCGGCTTTCTATTTATTCTTTCGCAGCCTCAGTTTCTCAACATGTAAAATCAAGACAACAACCAAAGTGCCTCCGGATTAAAATAAGGCATAGAAATGCTAGGACATTAAAATGGAGCTGAGCAGATATATTAGTTTTCTAATACTAATTTTTCATTAGCGAGGTTAATTGTCCTGTGGAATATTTTTATAGAAGGTTTTTTGAGCCAGACTTAACCCCCTTCTGGCCAAATACAGAGAGTGTGTAGGGAAGGAAGCACGTCGTATATAAGACTTACAGCAGGACTGAGTTTGTTTCCTGTCACTTCCCACATGACCACCTATTGTTCTGCCTGATTATTTCACTTGGCAAAAAGACATTGCGCTCTTTGTACTCGTTTGCATATCCTCGGTGTAATCAGAAGGGGCCAAGTTTGACTGTTTAAAGGATTTAGCTTCTTGAAGTTTGTTCTCCTCCAGACTACAGGAGGATTTGTCCCAGACCTCCCGTTTACAATAAAAGGCCTTCCGTGAATAATCTGATAGGGAATGAATACAGAATAGGCTCCTTTGTTTGCCAGACAGGTGAGATCCTACTTTCTCTTGCTGCTAAAAATCTAGGCTGGAAAAATGACTAGCGTTACATTAGTACTAAATTAGCCTCATTGCTTTTGTAATCGTTACTCTCATAATGATTTAACTGAAAATCCAAGAATAACAACAGCGATTCCCCTCCCCCCCAACCCAGGGTACTGAGAGAATTTGAAAATGGTTTATAATGTTAATAATAACCATGGCACTCGACAACAGTATGGCAATTTTCCAATTATTCAGCGTTCTTTCATAAACATTACCTCATTTGATTCTCATGTGAACCAAGTAAGATTGGTAGACCAGGTATTATTATTCCTGTTGAATAAATGAGGAAGTAGAGATCAGAGATGCTATTTCTTGCTTAAGATTACTCAGCATTTCTAGCCCAAAACTTTTATTTGTGAATCCCCTTCTACTCTAAGGGTAAAGGGTAAACATTGAGAGGTTGAGAGTTGTAACTGGTACTAGAATAGATTTATTGTTTACAACAACTCTATGAAGTGGGTGCTATCATTCCCATTTCACTGAAGGTTACCTACGTAATGACAAAGGTTTCTGACTCTGAAATGTCCCTGATTCTGCTACATTGCTTCCAAAGTGTAAACATAAATATGTGCGTGTATACACACTTATATACACAGGGGCCCGTGTGGTAGACACTCTCCTACTGTGTGATTCCTTTCTGTCTATCCACAGACATGCAGATACCACCTTTATTAAAGCACCTAGCAATGACTAGAACAGCCTCCAGCAATGCCTGGGTGATAGACTTACCTGTCACAGCACATAAAGCAGTGAGTTCAAAAGCAGCGTGTCTGGCAAAGCGTCAGTGTTATTCCCTTCCTGTTTCATGTCCCCCGCATGCTTGCTACCTCCAGAAACAGGAGGAACCCTACCGTGAGAAAACAGGTGCAAAACGACAGCCATTCTCCAGTGACTGGCAGTGTGGTGTATGTAGTAGCATGAACGGTAGGCTAGAAGCAAGACTGACAAGGAATTCCAGCTTTTGACTTATTAGCTGCATGTTCCTTGGGTAACTTTCTAAATGACTGTGTCCCTCAGCTTCCTCATCCATAAAAATGGGGATAAGGATGTCACCTATTTCATGGAACTGGTTGTGACATAAAATGAGGTCAGAAAAACTACCTGTTTCACAGTAATAATAACAGCTAACATGATTTGTGCCAGTGGAAAACACTTGATAACTATTTAAATTATTACTGTTTTTATTATATTCCATAACCAGACTTAACCCCTCTCCAAAGGGCTAAGTCACAAAGCCCAGTTCCAACATTAGGTTATAACATTTACAACAACACGTTGTACTTATTTTTTGTCTATTTAACAAACCATAAGCTCCTTAAGAGCAGAGGACATGTCATATTTAATTTTATTCCCAGTGCCTTGGTTAGTGCATGCCACATAGTAGATTTTGTTTATTGACTAACTGAATGAGTGGAAGGATAAGTGAATGGATGCATGGTTAATTCTTTTGTAAAGTAAATAATTATTGCTGAATTTTGTGTCAATCTAAATTTTCACACTTTGGGTTTTCTTAAAGAAAGATAGCTGATCTTGATGATCAGGGCATGTCATTATGTAAACCCTCTAATTATTGTCCCATAATTCTTATGTTTATTTCACCAGTCAATTCATTAACGATAATATATGCCCTAGGTATTTGGTTTTAATGGTCAGACTCAAACCGATAGAAAAGTATGTCTCACGTTCTTCTATACATATTATATTCTTTTCCAAGCAATGGTAAAGTGGATATATAAGATTTCAAAAACATACTTCAAAGTGTTAGCACTCATAATTATTGGGTTCATATGAAACCATTTAAGAAGAATTCTGGGGTTTCAAAAAAGTGTCAAGTTATGTAGTGCTGCTATGCTGAAGGAAATTGTAGACACCACCCAAAACAGACACTTCACTTCAGCGGAGGAGAAAAATCAGGCCCAGAGACGTGGGTGTTTTGTTCAGGGTCACACAGCTCATCAAAGACCGAACTGACTCTGACTTCAGACCCCGTATTCTTAGGATAACAGCTTTTCAGACATGGGGACCAGTATTCTTTAGTGATGTTGCTTCTGGAAGATGCAAGGGTGGCTGGCCCTATATGTCCAAACCACCTAAGACAAGGGCATGATTTCTGGAACACCAAGTTGTAGCGGTGGACGTGGGCTAGAAGCCAATGAAGAAGAGCCCTGTGGTCCCCATGACAGCTCTCGGATGTATACAGTCCATTCACGTGGCGTTTAACTTTTAAGGTGTTGGAGAAATGCAGGTCTGCAGCTGAAGAGCAGCAACATCAGAGGGGGACCCACACACGTACAAAGTCTTCGTAATGTCCTTCTGCAGTTTTTAAACATTTGAACTTCAAATTTTTAAACTTCAATAAATTATGTTGAAGGTTTGATAGAAACAAAGTGTAATAAGCAATGAATTCCTTTTTTTTTTCTCACAGTGGATTTGTGTGTATAGAAGAACAGAAGGCCATTTTAAACAATGTGATGTAATATTATATGTGTTATTTTAACGAGTATAAGTTTTGCTCTTTCTTGTTTCTGCACCCAGATTCAAAGGATTCCAAGGAGAAGAACAAAATGGAAATCCTGTACATACTGGTGCCAAGTGTTGCCATTCCCCTGGCCATCGCTTTACTCTTCTTCTTCATTTGTGTCTGCCGCAATAACCAGAAGTCATCATCGCCGCCAGTCCAGAGGCAGCCAAAACACGTCAGGGGTCAGAACGTAGAGATGTCAATGCTGAATGCATATAAACCCAAGGTAATATTAGCAATACAGAGCTGCGTTCATTCCATGGGCTAAAGCAAAATGCTATGATCCTCCCATGCTGAGAAATCAGATGAGATAGAATCAGAGTTTTCAAGCGCTACAGTTTGTTTCAGCAAATGCAAAGACTAACCTTATATCTTCAGCTTTGCCAAAGGCAAGTTCATCACCCTGTTCACTTCAGAGTTAGGCCTCCCAAATCACTGCCTTAGCATAGAGTTGTTGAGCTAGAAGGGATCCTTAGGAGATCCTCTCGGCCAGCCCCTCAGGACTCAGAATGTGAGCTATTTCTCAAAATTTCAAAGAAGGAAATTTTCATCCTTTTCTAACCACACTGTGTGAGAGAGAGAGATCCAACATGGCTCACAAACTTCACCATTAAGAAATCCTTTTTATTGTGCAACTGTGTGCATATAAAGCTACTATACTATATACTTAAAAATGATTAAGATAGAAAATTTTATGTTATGTGCTTTTTTACCACAATTTAAAAAAAAAATCCTTTCTATGCCTAACTTAAATCCCTTTCACTTTGGTTTAAGCAAATTTTAAGAGAAGTGTTGTCCTTCCAGCAATCTTTGAATGCTGTTTTATGACAGCCCACCTTAAGCCTTCTCCTCTCTGTGCTGAATCAACCCACTTCCTTTTTTGCTTTTCCTTCACATCTTTCAACATTTGGGCTGCTCGGGGTCCTGGCCAGGAATCCAGGTCACTGGCCCTTACCTTAAAAGGAGCACCCGGGCTACATCTCCGGACGGAAGTACAACAGAGGCTTTCTCTCAGGAAAGCCAACACCCCAACCCCCATCTTCTCAGCAAAGAGATTTTATTTAAACAATTCCGGAATCTTCCATCCAAAAGCCTGTCTTTATTCCTAATTGTTCCAACTCCATAGGAACATTCCTTCGTTCGTTCAACAAATATTTATCTTCTCTGTGCGTTAGTGATCATACTATTTTTTCGACCCTCATAAAGAGGAAGATGCATTACTTTTAATAAAATCTTAGAGGAAAAAAATGTCTTTCACACCCAAAGCAACTAATCCTCTTATGTAGTAAGAGGAGTAGCACAATCAGGCTGACACATGCCCTCATTTTATTTTATTGGCTTTGCTGTTTAATTTTTTTTTTTAATTTAAAAAGTCTTAAAAATATTTTTGCTATTATAAATTTATATACATTGGTAAGGATTTGGCATTTCTTAAATGCTAAAAAATCATTTTTAAATATTCTGTATCCAGCAAAAGACACTGTTCTCTTGCTAAGTGTGAATTTTTGTCATAAAAAACCCCTACAGGTCCTGAAAACCATAGAGTTCACAAAGTAGCTTGGGGGATGGGTGGAGGTGGTAGGTCAACTTTTTTGACATCCTAGCTTCTCGACAGCAAATTTACTTATTATATAGCATTTTATGTATAATAATATCGCATTTATTCCTGACCCTTTAATGCTACTGCAGAGGTAATGGAAGTAAATAAAGAGGGGCTAACACCTAGTTGACCTTGCAGATACTTTTACATATCCCATGACTCAAGCTTCTGGTGAACAGTCATTGTTCCATGAGATTCTTTCCTTGTCATTTCTGTTATTAAATATTAAGAAACACCTTGGCCAGGCGCAGTGGCTCACGCCTGTAATCCTAGCACTATGGGGAGGCTGAGGCGGGCGAAACCAACCTGAGCAAGAGTGAGACCCATCTCTACTAAAAACAGAAAGAAATTAATTGTCCAACTAAAAATATATAGAAAAAATTAGCTGGGCATGGTGACGCATGCCTGTAGTCCCAGCTGCTCGGGAGGCAGAGGCAGGAGGATTGCTTAAGCCCAGGAGTTTGAGGTTGCTGTGAGCTAGACTGATGCCACGGCACTCTAGCCCGGGCAACAGAGTGAGACTTTGACTGAAAAAAAAGAAACACCAGAACTCTGGATGGGATAGAGACCCAGATAGGCTGAGTTCCAGCAGACACACTGCAGCAGCGACCATCCTGGTGAGATGGGCTCCTCCTTGCCATAGCAAGAACCACGGAAGAGTCATTTCCATTTGGAAAAACTATCAATTTTGTATGTTAGCCTTAATCTGCCACTTAATTCCATTTTTAGAAGAGGTTTGTTTTACAATGGATGATGTTTCCAACAGAGATCTCAGAGAACTTTGTGGCAAAAATAGAGAAGGCAAATATAGATTGATTAGTACAAACGGTCAAGAACTGTATCAGGAGCTTGTATACCCATTATCATATTTAATCCTCACAGCTATTATATAAGGTAGGTATTATTATTATTATTGTACAACCAGGGTAACTGAGACTCAAACAGACTAAGTAATTTGACCAAGGTCAAAGAGCTAGTAATTCAAAAAGATAAAATGTGAATACAGGATATTTTTTTTATTGTAGTGTATTATAGGGGAACAAGTGTTAAGGTAACTTATATTGCCCATGCCCTCCTTCCCCCTCGAGTAAGAGCTTTAAGCATGTCCATCCCCCAAACGTTGCACATCTTACTCGTTGTGGTTGTATATGCCCATCCCCTCCTCCCCCCTCCCACCCTCCCGACACCCGATAAATGTTACTCCTATATGTCCACTTAGGTGTTGATCTGTTAATACCAATTTGCTGGTGAGTACATGTGGTGCTTGTTTTTCTATTCTTGAGATACTTCACCTAGTAGAATGGGTTCCAGCTTTATCCAGGAATATACAAGAGATGCTATATCACTGCTGTTTCTTAAGCTGAATAGTATTTTTTTCAACTCTAAATAAAGCCCTTACTCGTGCTAACCCCTTGATAACTTTTTCACAGAACACATCATATGGGGAGGGCGGAGGGAAGGTTAGGCAAACAACTAAATGTCATCCCACTTGTCTGTTTGTGCTGAATGGTAACCACAGGCATCCCCTGGCTTCTGACAAATCTTTAAGAGGCCTGTATAACAGTCACAAGCCTGAAAGATGTAGCTCTAACCCTGCAAGGGACATGTAAAATTTGACTAGAGTGATAATAGTTCTCTATCCTCCATGGCCAAAAAGACAAATGTAAAATATACTGGCATGAGTTTTCCCAGAGACTTGGTGAAGTAAACATTGTTTTCATAGTTTCTGGATCATTTCTGAAGTGTGCCTTGCAGAATCTCCCAGTGTCAAGATTTGTCCAACATGAAGCTTAGAATTTTTAGCCTTACACAGTTCACAAACACTTCTGAACCAGACTGGAAGAAGGAATGGTTCAAATATTTGACTGGGTTGAGGAGGAAACAGGAAACAACAATAACAAATGCTAATTTTTTTTTTTTTTTCTTACTCTCTTAAGAGATTTGGCTCCGATCGAATTTGAGTTATTCAATTGTTTGTTTTGGTTCTTACTGAGTGCCTTTCCTGGAAAAAGCACAAAGGACTTTGTAGACCTTAAAGAAAATTCCTAAACGTAAACAGAAAATCTCTAAAACTGCTTTGAAAGGTCACTGACACATAAATATTGCATGTACCTATAAAATTTAAAAGGAAGGGACACACATAAGAAAGAGAGAGGAAAAAAATCCTGAAAACAAACACTCTACCAGAGCAAAATCAAAAGGACATTTGGAGGCAAGGAGGAAAAAGAAATGAAGAATAGAATCTGGCCTACTCAAGGCTCACTCTCCTTTCCCCTTGGCCAATTCAAGTCAAAGACTCCAGGCTTCTTATTTATCCAACTGAATGTGCCCTTCGGGGTTTAAACTATCTGTTTCCATCTCTCTTCACTTGCTGAGCTGCTCAAATTCCCCCGAGTGTTTGGATTAAGAAGAAGAGGCTCCTCCGGGAGATTAGAAACCGATACCCTTCAGAGAGGACAATAGGGGGCCACAGACAGACTGGCTGACAGGCCTGGCCTGAGTCCCCAGAGAGGTAGAATGGTGTGGTTGGAAGTAGACGCTTTTGAGGAGCCACACGTTCCCTTCTGATCTGTGAGGCAGGGAAGCCAGTGGACCAGAGAGGCACCTTAACACCAAACAGCCGGAGACGGAGATACTCTTCCTGGCTCTCCCGCCACCAGCCCTGTCACTCTGAGAAGCCACCTACCCTTGTGCAGTTCAATTTTCTCAGCTGTTCAGAGAAAGAAGGAGACTGTCTTCAAGCAAAGGACTGTTTATTTATTTTCCCTTTATTTTGTTCAGCCAGAGATTTCAAGCCATTCAATCCTCTGATGAGTACTCTAGTGATGCCTTAACTAAGCAGGAGTTTTCTATATTGCGTTACCAATTTTACAAATCTGATTGGGTTGTTTTTTTTTTTTTAAGTACTGGCGGAATTGAACCTTCTCAGAGGAGTCTGGAAACCCTAACTTCCCTTCTCTGTGATCTGTTCCTTTGCTTCTCCTTCCCCTGCCCCCACCTTGCCAAACCATCAGGACTGAAAACCAGAGCATTCTTTAAGCATGGGTAGGTAAGAGGGAGAAGATGTGGAGTGTGCCCTCAGGGTGTAAATAGGGAGGAGCAGGTCTCCCCTTTAAGCACAGGGTGGGTCCCATTCAGCCCCAGCCTCCTGGCTTGTCACCTACTTGGGGTTAGGCACATAGAGAGGCTGAAGGGTGGAGGAGTTTGAGAATGGGGCCAGGAAGAGTGGAGGCAGGCCAGGGTTGTCAAGGCCGCCAAAGCCTGAATAGCCCTTGTGGTCAAACTCCTGCAGCTCCTGGCTGATACAAGGAACATTTGAGGGGAGAGCAAGATCTGCCTAGCTTTCCAAAGCTGGTGACTGTATTTTATTTCTCAGTGTATCCTCATCTCTTGCCAGCTTCTCTGTTCTTTCAACAATTCATGTCTCTTTGTTCCTTTCCAGCTGAAGTAGTTGCTGAATGTACTGAAATTTCATTATATTCTCTGGGCCTGTTTCTTGTGCCAGCAAAGTGCTTCTATCTAAAAAGCCCTGCTAGAGTCTGGCTACCCTTTTGAAGCCCTTGTCCTTACCAAATGTCATCATACTTTGTGCTAAAATATCCTCAATGACTCCCCCACTCACTCCT